GATGTTTTCCGAACGTTTACAATAACAGTGTCGTTTGCATGAAACTGGTAAAGTCAATCACGTAAATGTTGTTTTATGCAATAACTCTTTATCTTGAATATTTTCAAACCAGAATGGCGAATAAGAATTTCTATTAAACAACTATTTAAGAAAACTGTCTGGTGAGTAGGGTAATGCATCTGCCTGTTCAAAGGTGTTGTACGTGTAAATGAACGGTGGTAAACAATAAACGACCAGCAGAGATACATGCCCGCTTGAGAACTTTTGCCATTAAAAAAACGCTATAATATTGGCACTTGTACCAACGCTTTATTTCTATTATCAGTAACGCGCATCCGTAATCCCTGACCCTTTCGTTACATAATTTCATTATTAATTAAATCCACTGATCGTTCGTTCTCCTAGATAATAGACTGTCTAATTCTCTCTAATTTAACAACGAAATAAATAACTTTATTTTAACCACGAATCCCTTCTAAACAATTTAATAAACGATTATTTAAATTTCTGCTTGAAAAAGCTTTGTAAAATGCTAATCTTACGTACCTCAGTGTCTCATTATTTTCATAACGAAATGGTTTTAGGGTTTTAGGATTATTTATAAATTCATTAGGAGACTCTAAGATCTATATGGCCGACCCATTGCCATTTCAGCTTACTAACCTTCTGAGCTATGTCGGTTACTTTTGTCTTTGTTGGGAACTCTATCACGCAGAATACCGAGCATAGCCTGCCCCATAGCTCGCTGGGCGACTTCGACCTTCTTGGGAAAGAAAGGTTCTCGAGTGGAAGCCTCGAACTGGCCATCGTAGTGTGGGACGACCCCCACTAGATGGAGTGACGACCTGTGCAAATGTGCGGGAAGTCGATGGATGTAGGTGGCTCGGGATGGTGCTTTGTGGCTGTCTATGGGGGAGACCTATGTTCAGCAGCGGACTCAAACAGACTGAAATGATGATGATGATGAAGCAGCAGAATTGTCTCACAGTTAGAAGTATTACTTTTCAGCCTGAGCAACTACAAAAATCAGTAAAAGAACTTTTTTGCTACCTTTTAATGAAGTGGGCTCCGGCATCCTCATCTACCAGATGAACTCAGAAGTGTAACACTTTCTCTTCACGACGGTTTTCCGTGAGGTCGTGGCACTTAGCTGGACGGACCTGCCCATTCGTGCCACAGTAAAAACTGTCGCGTGGCCCTACCACCTTATATACAAATATGAGGTATATATGACACAAGCGCACCGAAACTGAGTCAATGAAATCGCTCCAATTGGTGCAATTAGATTTCGATTCTGTAGACTGCTATCTCTTTCCGTATCCTACGTTCTTTATCATTTGTCACATTCACTTATAATTATGTCATACAATGTGAAGCGGAACCATTTTAAAACACCGCGCAGTATGAACTATGCATATCTTATCCTTTAAAAGAGCAATTCTTGTATATATATATACATATATAATCGGAATCTCGGAAACGGCTACAGCGATTTTCATGAAATTTAGTATGTGCGTAGATTCGGGGACGAAAAATCGATCTAGCTAGGTTTTATTTTTAGAAACTTTTATCCCTGTTTTCAGGGAATGAAAAATATCATTCGAATATGACGGTAAATTTCGCCGCAAAAATATTGTTATAATAGCTCGGCAGGTAATCGGGCGGCCCCAAAACACCCAAAACACCGGCCGCGGTTCGTATCACGCTCATTTACACACTCATTTTTTTTAGTTTTTTTTCTAGACCAGATCATTTTCTTTGTTTTTTTATTTCCAAAATACATGATTTACCAAAAAAAACCTACTCCAGGTACTCTATATTATTAAACATACTATTGCCTACCACAGTTGCATGAAGCATATTTATAACATTTTCCTTCTATCAACATTTAGATCGTTCTTCTTAAAACTAAAACTTTCAATATATTCGGCCATAACATTGTTACAACAAATGCCCTTTTAAATGCCTTATCAGCGGTACACCCACGCCTCTATAAACCGAACCGAAATATGAAGCGACGAATAATAATTTATTTATGCGAGTGCTGAGCCCATTCAAATGGAATGTCCCGATGTGAAATATTTCATCTAATCCGCATTAAGGTCAAACGAACGGATATGACAGGGCATAATCCTGTCCTTAATTAGGAGGCGTTCGTCCATTCTGCCGCCAGATTCACGTTAGAAGCTATATTTTTTTGTAGCTTTTAATTAATTCCAAATATTTGCATGCTAATTACTCAGCCGCCAAGTTAATGACACCGCCTACATTATAGCTGTCGTGGTGAACATTAGTCAACTTATATTCGGAGAGAATTGTCAACTAATTTTTATTAGATGTTGATTGCTACAGAGATAAGAGATTCTGTTGTGACCGCTAATGAGTATTAATTAAATGGAGGTACGTTATTACGTTGGACGAAGTGATGACCTGTACAAATTCCAGAAGTCAATGTGTGCAGGTGGCTCAGGATCGTGCTTTGTGACATGACGTGCGATGTAATTGTTCTTCAGAAGGTGCCTATTTTCATCATCATAGGCTGAAAAGATGATGATGATCATAATGATGATTAAGATGGCCAGTCATTTACTTTGTTAATGTGTATTTCTTCAGTAACCAATGAAGCATCTAAGATTCCATAAGTCAAGCTAACCACTTTAAAGTAGGCTTGTGCCAATTAAGGATTACAGAAAAAAATATTATTATTGTTAGTTCTATAATCTTACATGCTGAGTGGAAACCTATTGGGTTCAATTAAATTAGTATTTCGTTTAGTGTATGAAAAATGTCTTTTCATTCACTTACGTACCAATAAACTTTTCTTTCGTTCTTTTAATTAAAAAGATACGGGAATCATTTTTAAAATTGATAGCATGAAAAGTAAGATAATTCGTCTACATACAATTTTGGCAGGAGACCAGTTTGGTCACAATTAACTTCCTTCAAATTCAAAATTCGAGCAAATGCCACTGAAGCTATCAGCAAAAGCTATTAATATACAGTTTTGAGACGAAGTTTGATCAAACATTCCTCCAGCTATACCCAATTCGCACGGCGTAGGCAACATTTGTTGGGAATAGAAACTAGAGGAATCGCGTCACTACGTAATAGATTCGATAAACTTTGCCACTCGACCCGTACGCGGGCTGCATCTTTCGCGATAAACCAACACGATACAAAACATACATATTGGCTAGAGAAACTTTGTTTTTTGTGTATACTTTGTACCATATATTAGCTTTTACACACATTTCCAGTTCACGATTAATTTTCTTAGTATTAGAGTAAACATGGTCCTATTTCATATTACAGAGATGGACCGAAAGGCCGTTAGAAACTAATGCGCCGCATACATTCCTATGAGACCCTTGCCGACGCAATAAAATGACGTGCCCACATAAAAATAACTAGCGAAATTTCCATAGGGTCGTGAAGCGGTAAAATGGCGACTGGCGTCACCCTTTTAATCTCGTAAAATTTACGTTTTAATGCGAGGAATCGCGACGAAAACTCGTAATTGTTTAAAGGTTGATTTGTTTGTTGGGCCTTGAGTGACTCAATGTGCCTATAAACCAAGGATTTTACAACTATCGGATAGCAGAAAGCCTCATAGTTAATAGTGGACTTAATAAAGTTTTTTATATGGGAAAAAAGGGGACAAACGGGCAGGAGGCTCAACTGATGATCACCGCCGCCCATGAACATCTGCAACACCTGAGGGCTTGCAAATGCGTTGCGGGCCTTTTAGGAAAGAAGGTCCCAGGTCGAGTTTAATGAGAGTAATTTCATTATGGGTTATGGATAAACATTTAAGTACATTACATACATTTTAATGGCCATAATGATTTATTTAAACTATCGAAACCGTTTTGCGCTGGGCGCACCTAAATGGGATTGTAATTTTATATGAATAAAACTAAGGTATTACGACTACGGACTGGAATCTGTTGCTGCCACAGGCTGGTTATATAAAAACTGAGGCCTCTATCAACTATTGTATACCAGTAAAATATACTGTTTCATCTAAAAATGTTTATGGAATGATTTTCCTATAATACTGAGTTAACAACGTAGAAACTTCAAATTGAATCTACCTATCCGAAATTCTAATCCAGGGAAATACCTAATAATTACTAAATATTATATTGTATTTATTATCAGTTTCTTCACTTTGCGTCGGCCATTTTGCGCGATGGCGGCTCGTTGGGCGGTTTGAATTTAGAATGAGCGCTCGGGCTCGGGGCCCATCAATCATTGGACCGCACTGGACCGTTCCTGACACACACAAATTATGATTGAGATTTATGCCCCTTGGCCGTAAGGTGCCGTCTTAAAGGCGAATTGTATATTAAAATTGCATATATGCGCGTGTAGCTTCGATTTATTTATGAATTATCTTGGTTTACAAAGTTTTAAATAGCTAGTGCTACTTTATGAAAATAATTACGAAATTGGAATAAAACTAATAATTAATCCAGCTAACGGCAGCCCGGGATAATTTTTTCTAATCATCGACATTAGGATATCAAACATCTCAGTCCAGCCCATGACCATGTGAGATTTGAAACATCGGGAGATTAAAATATCAACTCTCCTTGGGAACGAATGTACAGATCCTAGGTCACACAATTACACGTCCCGCTTGGGAACCGAACCCACGACCCCCGTCTCGAAAGCCAATAGTTCAGTAATTTTGTGTATCAGTCGTCTTAATATATCTGTAAGTTATAAATTCATTATGCATAAAAAGGATTCTTCTAGCTCTTCTTATTTTAAAATACCAGGACTCGATGATGCTATTCCAGTCTCGTTTGTAACAAAATAATGTTCCATATAACTTATCACAAACTTGTACATCAGCTGCTAACACTATCGAATAAACGTTCATAAAGTGAAGGCTGCATCGTTAGGTTACCGTAAAGGACGCGTCGAACCCACGTTTCGATACACGATAGCTACTGTAAACTGATCCCGCCCGCAATCAGCGCTTTGTGCTCACAATGCGCTGCTGGAGAGTAACATGGATGCATACGAACGTAGCTCAAGGTAAACTGGTCATGTGGAGCTACGAAGTATAGTTGTATTAACATGCAAGTGATCTGTCCTGTTTATGATCAAGTGTTAACAGGGTTCCAGATTAGCTCTGATAGTTAACTCCATACATTAGCAACCGCCAGTCGTCATTGTTATAAGTTAATTATGGGTAACGTAATTAACGGCCAGTCGCTTACAGCCATCGATGCTAACTGCTGTGTCCCTGGTCATCCGATCTGCACTTTTTTCTCTGCTTATATAATTTTTTTTTAGGACACATTTGTACACAACATTTTCTAGTCCCAAACTAAGCAAAGCTTGTAGTACTATGGGTACTAGAAAACTGATAAACATACTTTTCTTTTGTAAATAAATACATATTATACATATAGAAACACCCAGACACTAGAAAAACACCATGTTCATCACACAATATTTTTCCAGTAGAGGGGATCGAACCCACACCCTCTGGCGCAGGAGGCAGGTACACTACCAACTACGCCATTCGGGTCGTCATATGTATGCTTGTATGTGAGAAGGTCTCAATCGAGCTGATGGTTTCACCTGTTAAGTGATAACCGCTGCCTATGGACATTTGCAATAAAGCGGGCACCGACTACCTCAACAGACGAAACGCAGAAGTAAGACACTTCCTTTTCACGCCGTTATTCTGTGAGGTCGTGGTACTTACACGGACGGACCCGCCCATTAGCTCAACAGCCGTAGCTGTTACGTGGCCCTTCCACAGTAAAACATAGACTTTTAGTTACACATAGTCTTTTTCAAATGGGTCAAGCCTGTTTTTAGTCAGTTCTTCAGCTACGTCGTAACTAGTAATATCTTTCCCTTTTACAGAAAAGGCATCGATTTTTTATAATATGCCAACCGAGCTGCGTTCTCGATATCAAAATTTCTGGACTGAAAACACTTGAACCAACTCTGTTCAAGCGTACATACAATGACTTACACTGCATTAGGTCAATAAACTTAAATACCTTTTTTAAATTTCATATATTTAATGGTACTAAAACTATCCATATACAAACTGTACTACCAAAGATATTTTACTACAACTTTATACATACAAAATAAAGGAAAAGCTTGAAAAAACTATTGACTCACTTATCTCTTAAGTAACAGTTGTATGTAAATGAATTTGTGTGTGTCGATTGCCCAGCTAACTTACATATTACCTTTTCGATTATATCTTTTAGATAAACAAAACAACTGATATTATATATTAAAGGTTTGTTTTTAAGGTCAATATTTCTGTAAGATCTCAACTGCAATACTTGATTTGTAAAGTTTCCTGGTCTGGCCGCTTTGTTCTATGTTGATGGTACTGTGTCTGGAACTCCTAATTATATCGCAGTGACTGCTTCTTTATATGTGTATATATGCATATATATTCAGTGAATTAAGTAACAAATAACTTTAAGGCTTCCGTGGGCGTGACCAGAGGGGAAAGCTTTTTGTATAATTACGAATTATGATTTGGACCAGATATTTCGAGGCAGTAAAGTAAAAGTTTATTATATATAACTTAGGAATTTTTGTTATTTACTGCTTTAAGAGAATTAAAGGTTTCAGGTTCTTCATTCTCAACTAAAATGCTAATTGGTTTAGGCTAGTTAATCAACTAATAGTTATTTCTTTTTCTTTTTATATCCCATTACACATAATATATAAAGTTTAATCTGAATATTGATCGCTTCTAAATTGTAAAAACATTTTGTAAAACATTTTATCGTAAGTATGTTTCGGGATTCATTGGATTTATTGTAAAATTCAAATCATGTCGATACACTATTATATTAAATGTTCATTATATATGACAAATCCATTGGTTTGTTTTCCGAGCCGTTAAAAAGTTAATCTCAACGTAGGTAACGTATAAAATTATTTCTCTTTCAGTTTGATAGTGTTTCCATCTAACTCAGGTCTTTATGTAAATCGCTCAGGTCTCGCTAAAAAGCTTAAACCAACCTATGAAACTAAAAGTTTTTAATAACAATAGATTTTAAAAATAGCAATCCAATCCAATAAACTTCATTTAAATGTTAACTTTTTACAGGATGTTTTTATCTGTAGAAAGGTTATTTTATTTAGTTATATCCGTGTACTATTACCTACTTAGTTCTTCAATTACCGAGTAGTAAAGTACTAAGAATCAAAATTTTCGACGGGAACTTTTCATGTGTACAATACCTATCTATATATTATATATATACATAAAAATTCGTGTCACGATGTATGTTCGCGATAAAATCCGAAACTACTGAACCAATTTTTATGAAATTTTGTAAGCATTTGTAATTTGGTCCAACTTGAGGGATAGGGTAGTTTTATCTCAATATTTGTTATTGCAAATTATTTATTTATATATGTCATCTAGACAAAGAGCTATCTGTGAGTCCCATAAGATTGTAACAGATCGCGGTGTAAGATCAATTTATCGGCTGGATTGAGTAAGTATCCGATAGATGGCGCTATGCTAAAAGTAGAAACGTATGAACCCGGTAGAATTGGCGCGGACGAAGTTGCGCGGGCCAGCTTCTATAAATATATGTATACAAAAAGGCTTTACACACGGGCCTGCAATGGAATAACCTAACCCAATAAAACGGGCTTAATTGAATAAAAAAAACGAAACGAATCGCATACAGCTCTCCCCGATAAGGCTTATCACGCCCGCCGCCCGTCAACGCGCGAGCACAGCCCACGATGGACACCGCGCTAACCGCAGCGCCCGCCCATGGCCGTGATGCGATTAGCGCGGAACGTCCCGCGCGAAATCCGATACGCGATCGTGGTAAACGCATCGACACCGACGCGGCTCGCTCTCCCGTCGCAAACGAGACGCAATAATCCGCTTAATCAGCGTCCTCTGTTACATCGTAACGGACGTCCGCTCGGCGAAACACCGATGGAAATCCCCTGTCTATGGACAGCTGCGGCCGCGGCCCAGAGCTGATTGCGCAATTACCTAGCGCAACCGCGTGTACACTAAAACCGGACCAGATCACTTATTACTATACTGCAAAAGGGCCCGTCTAAATTGACCCTGTTCTAGATCCAACACTAGCGTTATTAGCGCGTAAATGGACAGAGCCGCGAGCTATTAAGCACTCCTTTATCACAGTTTTATCCCATAATTTTTTTTTACATGTGACTGTCTATTGCCTTAATGCTTTCCCACCCGATGGTAAGAAGAGATGTAATTTTAACTTCCGCCTCGAAGTTCAAGAATTGAACCCATATACAACGTGGCGCTACTAACGCGAATTAAATCAGCATATATAGAGAGGATAACTTTTTGAAATTGAACTAAACATATACTTTTTTAAACATCAATATTTAACGAGTTATTAAATTTTCCAAAACAAATAATTTTAGAACACCCTTACGTATAAAACTGTAAATAGCATTAGAAGTGTGTTCATTTATTGTCCCGGTTGTAACGCCATGCTGATATAAACTTGAAGGTTATACATGTTCCTGCAACACCTTTGAAATAACGTTCAGTTTGTTCAATGTTGTAACAATTAAACTGAAAATTTCTTTGGCAAACGAAATATCCGAACATCCTTTAGGCTTCCATTGCTCTCATACATGGAAATACTGAGCCGCGGCCGTCGACCCAAAACCTTATTGCGCTAAAAATGATCGCGAAAATCGCTATTTTCTCTATAACGGACGTATTTATTAAAAGGTTCAACGCTACGGGTGTTGCAAATCTCCATGGGCGACGGTTATCACTTAACATCGGATGAACCGTCAGCTCGCTTGCCGCCTTCTCACATAAAAAAAAACAAATATCAGCCCCGTAACGGAGTCCCCAGATGAACAGCAAAACAATCCCAAGTGACGTACAGCCCAGGCGCGCAAACGTTCACAACCGCGGCGGTGGCGCCACCGTCTGCAGTAGACACTAATCGCAAGATATCGACGATCGATCGATATTCACGCGAGCGAACCATAAAAAACCAGCCAAATGCAAGTCGGACTCCCGCACAAAGGGTTCCGTAACATTATCTAAAAAAAAAAATCATGTCTGTTGTACTGGGAGCCCCGCTAAAATATTTTTATTCTGTTTTTAGTATTGGTTGTTATAGCAGCAACAGAAATACATCATCTGTGAAAATTTCAACTGTCTTACTATCACGGTTCATGAGATACAGCTTCGTGACAGACGGACGGACAGACAGAGAGACAGCAGAGTCTTTGTAATTGGGTCCCGTTTTATCTTTTCGGTACGGAACCCTAAAACGAGCATCCTGTGTGGGATATTAGAGAAAATCGCAGCATCGTGCACCCCACACGCCTTTTAACTTGCATACGTGGTATATAATGTGTATATATGTATGTTGCATGTATCGCAGTAGTAGTGGTAACGGCCTAATATATAGCACTGATGGGAAAACGCCTCCTTTGTACGGAGTGTTTAATGGATAATGCACCTTGCAAACCCACTTGCTTAATAAACATATTTTCAATAGATTTTTTTAAATTATTATTTATAAAATGCGGTGGTTTCCTCACGATGTGTCCCTTCATAGATGAGACCGTGATAAATCACCACTTAAAATAACTTCTAACAATTTCATTGCTACCGAAACCAAGATTCGAAATCAGGTTGCTCGAGTATATTAGTAATGACATTAATATTATGATTGAAAGTAATGCCAATGCTGTTATTTTACAACTGATAGAGATTTTCTATTTAATACGTACTTAAATTGACAAAAAGGTACTTTTTAATAAATAATTTAATAAATACATACATGAAATAAAAAAATGTCATCTTTAAATTTAAATATGGCATGTCAAAATCTTTTTCTCTCGCTATGACCGAAAATGCGTAATGATAACGAATAATTTTCTACAATACCTCGAGTGAATAGGAGAACATGTTCACTTTTCAAAGACAAATCTAGGTTGAAAAAAGCTTATTCAGGTTTTTTGTAATAAACTTTTGTCCTTAACTTGAAGTACCTACAACACAGCGGCACACAAACTTTTGGTTAAACATTGTTTTGCGTAGACAAATATTAAGAAGAAATATGCTGAAATGCAAATTAAACGAAGATTAATATTTGAATTTATATACATATTGTAAAAAAAGTAAATATTTTCATACATTTTATAATTATTATAATATTTTCGCGGATAAATTAATAAAATATGTGATAATTTTAGCTGCGCTATTAATCGTTTATATATTAAACCAGAAATAATGATAACAGAAATATCGTCATAAATCTGGATTATTAAATAACGAATACTATTCCAATTCATAACATAATTACAATTTATACGTTATTTAGTTACAATTTTAATAACATTAACTAACGGTGAATGTATTCGGTGTTCGAACATTTTATATTTATAAATCAAATCACATTGCTAAAAGCGGGCTCAGACACGATAAATCGTTTAAACATAATGTTTAATATAATAAATGACTATCATTTATAACTTTTTTTATAAGAAATTTATAATGAATTCAGTGGCTAATTATCGGATTTAGGTTTTTTTAATAGCAGATACAGCGTATTTCCAATCTTTATAATAATATACCTTTTTTTTTTATGCGAAAAGTTGTCAAACGAGCAGACGGTTCACCTGATGTTAAGTGAATACCGCCGCCCATGGACATCTGCCACACCCGAGGGTTCCAGATGCGTTGACAACCTTTTGAAAATTGGGCTCCGGCTACCTCACTCACCAGACGAAACGTGAAAGTATTTGTCAAACTTCCACTTTACGCTGATCTTCTGTGAGGTCGTGGTACTTACCCGGATAATATACAAATTTAGCTTCCGTATGTTGGTCCACAAAGCTGTATATTTTGACTATATATTTGTTCAAAACATAAGTATTTACGTGGAGATTGTTTTTACATACTTTTTTATTCCGAAGTACTAAAGGAAACTGAAAAAAAGCCACAACGTACCGCTGTAATATTATTATTAATTATCAAAGGTTTTTTGATGTCGGTATGCAAACACCATTTTAGAGGATGTATTTGCTACTATGGACGAAAAATAGTAAAGAAAAATAAAGTTCTCATTAAACAAAAATTCTCTTAAAAATTTCTTGTAAAGAATTTATGAGAATTCCATATTAATGATAGTGAAGTAGACTGAAAAACGTTACTCTTCAAAATAGAGTTGTTATTTATCAACGCAAGGTTACCTTTCGTTGATAAATACATAACAATAATAATAATGGGTTGATCCCAATCAGCCTCTCCGAACATCTGAGGCGACTGGGACTCCGGGACGGATCGCTCCAAGCTCAAATGCAGAAGGCGGTGCTCCTCGATTCCGCCCGCATCGTCCGCCGGTTTCTCTCCCTTTCACCCTAACCCTCGGCCGTTTGGTCTCCCCTGCCGAGGTCTTCCGTCTGGCTGGGTCCTATTTGTGTATGTATTATATAAAACTTTTATATCCATATATTTATTTTTATTTATGTATTATAAATAAAAATAAATATATGGATATATAAAAATTACTTTATATACGCAATATATTTCAATATGTTTATTTTTATTTTTTTTAAACCCAACCAGACGAGGAAACAAATAAATATCCCCACCACAGTAATAATATTAAAGCCTCTTTATTCCTTAACATACAGAGTTTTTGATGAAATTTACGAAATATTTATTATACTGTAGTTTTTTTTTTCAAAAATATATACAGCGTGTCTTTACCATCGCGACAATAAATGAACACACATATAGAGGATAACTTTTTAAAATTGTATTAAAGATTTACATTCTTTAAATATCAATATTTACCGAGTTATCAAATTTTCCAAAACAAAGAATTTTAGAACACCCTTACGTATAAAACTTTAATGTAAAGTTCATTTGTAAAGGTCACAAAGCAATTGAATGGGTTGAATGAATTTAAAAGAGACAAAACATACTCTTATAAGGAGAGGCTTGTAATGCGGCGCTGTGGCAACGAATGAAAAAGTCTCTGAATGTATGAATTAGTCAGTTATAGGATGTTACAAATTTTGTTTCTTTTTTACTTAATTAGTTTGTTTGATAAATATATTTTTTTTAATTATGGATTTTTCTTAACGTTAATATTTTTTTATGATTATTGGCAAGTAGCGTTATACGTGTGGTAATTTATTGTCGCGGTGGTAAAGACACGCTCTATAGTCAAGGCCCCTGGCGGGTGTAAGCCTCCTCCAACTACTTCCAAGTTTTTCTTGTGTTTATATATTGATAAATACATATTTACATCATATATTGTTGATAATTGTATCACCATTCCATGATTGATTTCAAATTGAAATTTGAATTGAATTTGACTATGAAATTATTTCTTAAAAATATTATAAGAAATACCAACTACGTTGAACAGTATTTTAGACGCAATTGCAGCTTAAAGACGCCAACAATGCTTGCGTCCCCGACATTCTTTCTCTGTAGTCAGGGCGACATTGTTTCCTTGACATAAGTTTTTATCTCCACGAGATATAAGGCTTCTATTATTCTGCAAGGCTCAGGGCAAAAATTGTCTAATGATGTGCCAAATATGAAAGAACGAAGTACCTAGCTGACAAACAAGGAAAAACCCGTAATTTCCTTTTTCTCAATGACAAAGCTATATAATCTTACTATTAATAATTTAGTAATTTGAACAGTATACTGTTACGTGAATTTCAATTGTCATATAATTAAGGCTGTATTTTAAATTTACCTTCGTCACGCAAGACGTTAGGTGCTTTCGTGCAGTGCATAATAATTTCAAAAATATTACACTAGTCAACTGTTATCAATTGCTATTATTAAAAAAGTGTTACAAAATTAGTTTCTCTTACAAATCGGAACACTAAATTAG